GGCTGCCAGCTTCGCCTTCACTCTGCTGGGGGCTCTCCTCTGGCTCTGCGTGAGAAGAGCTTTCGCAAGCTTCATCGGTATCTGGGCTTCCATTTGAAGCTTCCTCTCCACTCTCCTGGACGGGGCTTTTCAAAGCCTCACCTTCGCTCTTCTGCGCTGGGCTTTCTGCTTCTCTCACAGAAGGACTCGGGACTTCATCTTGATGTGCACTCCCTGGCTCACTCTCGGGCTCATCTGCTGACGGCGAAGCAGGAGGGGCCGGGACCTCTGGCCCAGAAGAGTACGGTGACGATGGCGGGGTCGGGACTGGTGGCTGAGATGAGGATGGTGAGGCTGGCGGGGTTGGCTCCAGCGCAGGGCTGGCTTCCTCCTCCGTGGGTGTGTCCTCTTCTTCTGCTAACGGTGCCGGCTGCATTCGCCTTAGCTTTGAAGAGCCGGGTGGCACATTCGCAGCCGGACGCTTGGAAGACACCCTTCTCATCACCAAGGTGTCTTCATCCTCCTCACAGAAACAGATAAACAGATGTGATTGTAAGCTACGTGCCCCTATATACTTCGTTATATATACACTTCGGAGCATATTCAGAAGCCTCTGGAACTTCCTCATCATCTGTAACCTTCTCCTCCTCTTCGCATTCTTGTCCATCAACAGCCAGGCCGTTTCCCGGCCGAGCACCGTGCGATCTCCTTGCGAAGGCGGGGGGGGCGGAGACAGTGGGTACACGCTTCAAACACAAATAGCGGCTGGTCATTGCTTTCAAGCTTCCGGGTTGTACGTGGTGTAGGGCTGGGAATGAGCTAATGGAGAAACCCGAACCGAGTCACAGAAAAGAACTATAATTAGAAAACAGCGCCCCTAGGTGATGAGTATCTTTGAGCACAGCCTTTTTGCACCCTGTTAGTGGGTGGTATCTGGGATATATTAGATGGTAGTCATACGGACAGCCCAGTATGACAGACAGGCTGATCGAAACCAAACTCCCGAACCCTGTATACCGAAATGTTCGTGAACCCTACAAACGGCTATCTCCCACGAAACCCTATGAACCGCTAAATATTTTAAAGCCCAAATACCACAAACAATTTAAGGCACTCAACTGTGAACTCACACATGCCGCTGCATGCGCCGTGTTTCCCCAGCATGCACCGGACTTCATACCTGCTTTGGTTTAACCTTAGAAGCGCCCACATCATGCTGCTGCGCACATGCAAGCTCGATCCGTCCCATGACATCCGACATGTGGCTGTTGAGCACCGCCATGCTTATACACACAGTGACCTAAACGTGCACTCAGGGAGCACCGAACATGCATACCCACACGCACATGCAGATGGCCAAGCCGCTCCGACCGATTAGGTATCGTGCACCCACATGCAAGTGATGCTGCAGGGGATATAAATAACCCTAACGGTGTGGCACAATGTTACAGTACTGGATGCATACAATCAGTCGCCCAACTCATGTCGTTCCACATCATTCCTTGCTTCTGCAGGAGTGCGCCACCGAGCATGCTGTAAGAGCTATCTCGCAGAAGCCGCATGATAGACCGCGCTGGTGTTTTCAAAGCAGACAACAGTAAGGCTTCGCAGTCAGTCTGCATTCAAATCGCAGATTGCAGCAACCCTGCACCAGATGTAGTGCTGGGCAATCAAAGGTTTGAGACATATATCGCTTGGCAATCTGGTTGCTAAGCCCATTCAGCCAGTCATTCCATGCATCTCCTGCAGATCGCGCAAACCATGCATCATTACTTGTGGGAACAACACTTGTAGGTGCGGCGCCAAATCGTTTGCGGGCCGATGGCTTTTGCTGCAATTCAACTTGATGCACGTACGGCTACTCGGCCGATCCCCTGCTACATCCAGCCTTCATGCTAGAGCCTATCTTGTAATGGCCGTCACAGTATTGTCCGATCCCCGGCCGCTCATTAAGTTTAGACAACAATGAAGACCCATCATTGGCGCCATATTGGAATCAGCCGCTGCTCTGGAATCAAGAGTTGAACTTGTCATGGCTCCAGAATCCACCGGAAATTGCTTAGGATGTTTTATGCTTCACAGAATTCTAAAGAAGACCCGTGTGCATCCCAATACCCCTGAAATTCCCAAACTACTTTATTCAGACCCTGAAGCTGGAAAGCGGGCCTTATCATTATCACCATCGTAGTCATCATGTTCATCATCATAAGAAGAATAAACCATAGCTGTCATAGGCACAGGCAGCCATCCAGGTCCCCAAAATTTGCAGACGATATCCCAGGACACCATGAAGATCAAGAAAGGTCTAAAGTCACATGAAAGCTATGAACCACATGTGTGTGTGTGTGCATACATGTATGTAGTGGTACTCAGGTTTGCATGTGTATGATATGCGGGTGCATGCATGTATAGGACATGTTTGCACGGCTTTGTGTGTGTGTGTGTCAGTGCGCTCATGATTGTGGGGGTGTCTGAGGAAGGTTAGTTATATGGCAGATGAATAGGGCACCTATGTCTATATCAGTGAGTGTAATTGTGCATCACTCTGTGACTATGTGCATATGATGGAATGTCGTTGTCGACCCGAGGATATTCTCATGCAAGCAAGTGTCATATCCATCTCCATCTCGCACTCTCCATCAGCATCCGGAAGTTGCGTCTCCACGTTCGATGGGTCCACAACTGCCACCGGCCTGCATGGACAGGAGCTTTCATGAGCGTTGGCAAAGGCTAATTACTAGTTACATAGGATGCCTCGGCGGGTTCTTCTTCTTCTTCGCGATGGCTTTGCTCACCCTCGTGAGCACATTATGAACCTTTCGAGCCTTAGAGGTGGCCATGCTTAAAGCATAAGCTACTGCATGGGCAAATGACTTAGCACATGATATGCATGCTCCCACTGGTTGGCTTAGCGGCTTCCTCCGTGAGCCATGACTCGACTGAACCGCTTTCAGGATGGGGGCCTCCCAGTTTTCATGACAAAATTCACAAGCCCCACCAGGCAAACATCTTGAAAGACATATCCCCATTATAAGGCCCTGACATAGCTTCTTCCTGAAATGCAGAAGAGCACACATCATACGAATCTTTCCTTGCCGAGGAAGCCGGCCCACACGTTCGCAAGACTCCAAGGAATCATATAGCCAGCGATTGGATTTCACACGGCAGTCCCCACCGGCACACATAATCCCACTCTTTTTGATGTCTGCCACTGGAACATGAATCAAGAGGGATGCAAAGAGCTTCCTAGGCTTGCGACACATTCAGAAATGTCATTTACTTATTTCCATGACGAGCGGGTGCCAGAGACTACTTTCAGCCGAGATGCTTTCCTGCTGAACCAAGCTTCTTCTTGCCGTTGGTAAAATCTCGCTCAGTGCATATCGGCAGCGACATTGTTCAGAGGCTATGTTGCGTTCACAAATGCTATAAGACTACGGATTCCAATACATATCTTCATCACTATTGAAGCCTATGACATCCTATGACCATGACAAACTCTATCATGCTCAGAAGCTTCATCCAAAGCCTGCGCAGGCCGATGCGTTCCTGGAGATCAACCTGGTCTACTACATCATCAATAGGGTTATAGTCCATAAAACCAATCCCCCGATAAGTGTGACTTAGCCCCTATGTATACACTAATTGGTGGCACTTAGCGGAAGTGGCAGCTATTAGAGTAGCCTTCTTCATCGTTTTTATGGCATAGTACAAGCCCTTTGTTTGTAGGCACTTCGACTCTCAAAGTATATTCAGACTCGGGCTTATCCGATCCCTACACTAATAGTATGCACTCGGGGGCTGCTGGAAAACCCTAAACCCTGGGACCCCATCCTCTTGTTTGGGACTTGCTGGAAAGTTCGAAGTCGAAGCTTCAGCTTCTCCCTGATCCATGAATTCTGCAACCGTGTGGTCCTTGGGCACCAAGACGCAGCAGTGAGCGATTGCAGAAAGGCGGAAGAAGACCACACGGAGAACAGGCGGACCGAGGAAATGGGAACAAGCCATGCACGGCCAAAGACGAGCTTGCGCTGCCGTTTCTCTCTTCTTCAACAACAAGGCCCAAAAAAGTTCAAACTTTTTAGGATAGACCTAATACATAAAGCCAAAAATTTTAAAGTTCTCCCATTGGCTATCTAAGGTTTCTTGGTGCTCCTCGGACTGCCTTGTTCTTCTTGCGCAATATTCCGGAATGCCCATAGTTTAGGGTCATTAAGGTAATGCAGGGTTAATATCATGAACAGTATTACTTGGTTTTTCGGACCCGCATAGTATCTTGGCCCTTTGGCTGCCTCGGCGCCCAACCCTAGAGGACGATAATAGCCAACAGGACCTAGCTCTTGAGGTCTAGGGTTAAAGAGTTCAGGGATGAATAGGGATGTGGATTTTATGTCGGGTTTAAGAGTTCAGGTGTGAATAGGGTTGCGGAGTTTATGTCGGGTTTAGGAGTTGAGGGTGGATTTGCGGTTCGGGGGTATGAAATCGGCCAAGAAAAGAACACTAAAGCCTAAACCAGCAAAGGAGCTGAAGAAAGCCGCCAGAGCAGTCGCCCTCGTCCCCTTAGCAGCGATTTGGTGTGGAGAGCCGACCTAAAAACTATGGGAGGAGTGTTCTCCTTAGCGCATTATGGTTTCTTGCTTAAGGATCTGGTAGTGGTTTTCGGATTGACCGCTTTAGGATTCTGGGCTTCTTGAGCGTGCTACAAGCACAGGTGAGTTTATTTCAGAGATTTCAGAGCTTTGCATCTCACCTGTACTGTTTACATTCCGAAACCCAAGCACCATTCCTAAACCCTAAACCCTAAACCCCAAACCCTATGAAAATCAAGTCAACCAGCACCATGAACTCTGCAACCTTAAGCCACAGCCACGAAACGCTGAATGCCTGAACACACAGCCAGTGTTGGAAGAGATTTAGGGCTTAGGGTTTAGGGTTTAGGGTTTAGGGGTAAGGGAAGAAATTGAAGAGATTTCCCTAAGGGTCCATGTATTCATATAGCATATACATGGGCCCTAAAGTACCTATATAGGGACTACATTAAGGCCAATGTATATACTATTTGGGTACATGGACCCTTAGAAACACAGCCAAAAAAGAAGTGTCAACCCCTAAACCGCAGTCCTGCAAACCCAAAACGCCTTTCGCCGGCAACCGTTGACCCACCGCACGACACCGTACATCAACTTAGCATCCTTCGGGGAAGTCGCCATGTTCTGCACCAAGAAGGGACAGCACTTCGATGGCGTTGGAGCCGTTGACTTTGGTCGTCTTCCCTAGAGCTTGCGTGGCTTTACTCGGAACTTCATGGGTAGTTGTAGGAATAATGGGTTCAGGGTGTAGGGTTTAGGGTGGATAATGGTATAGTCTTATCCGAACATTTACGGCTCCAGATGAGAATGAACATGAACTGTGTCCCTCCAGTGCTTTCAGGGTGTTAGGAAGTTTAGGGCTAAGGGTTTTAAGTCTTTAGGGGCTGTAGGGTTTTGAGTTGGGGCTAACTAAGGGTTTTAAACCCTAAACCCTAAACCCTTTTAAGGCTTTAGGAGCTTGAGGTTCTGAGATATTGAAATGGTGAAAGGAGGGTTTGGGCCTTTAGGGTTTAGGGTTTAGGGCTTGGGCCTTTAGGGCGGACTGCAGCAACATGCCTGCACCTCCTCATTCCACCGAGGCGAACAAATCAAGCCTCAGCCCGCCCAAGCAGAACATCCGTCCAAGTACGGAGATTATGTGGCGCTGAAAAATGTGCCCATTGGGTAATATAGGGGCCTTAATAATAATTAGAATAGGGTTTTGTGGTCCAGTATACTATAGTTCTGATAAGGAGCCCCCGAAATATCGTATTGGTAATCGTTTAGGCCCCTACATTACTTCAACGCAGTAGGCTCCTGGAGCCCTCCAGCACCGAAGCCTTGACACCTGAAGCTCTGGACCCGGCGACCATAAAGCGAGAAGTTAGAAGAGCAGCTTCGAAACCACGCGTAAGATGACCTTAAGGACTGAGTACCAAAGCCCGAAAAGGGTAAACCTTCCTAGTGATGGTAATGTAGGGGCCTTAAGAATTAGAATAGGGTTTGGGCGTCCTTTCTAGTATATTTATAATAAGGAACCCCCAAAATAGTATAGGTAACTATTAAGGCCCCTATACGATTAGGGTTATACAAACCCACAAAGGTGTGTGGTTACCTACCCAGCCCCTAAGTAACCAAACTTGCAGATAGTTCCAACCCCTTGAAAGCACTTTTAATCCTATCCTACCGCATTAGAGGGACCTGTCCTGTACTGTACTCCCATCTACACCTGTAGTCTCCATTGTAGTTCCTTTTCGGGGTTCCCTTATAGGATCCTAAGTATAAAATTGGTTTAACCAGAAAAAAGGAACTACAATGGAGACTATAGGCAAACTTCAAGAGACTCGTAACTCCGAAACCTCATTCGGACGTTGAGGTTGCACAGTCCTGTGTAAAGGAAGTAGAGCATTGCCAGGACGGACTCACCTAAAGGTGTCATGTCTCTGCATGCAGAGTTGTCTAGGGTGATGGCTGTCTCGGATGTGTTGGGGACGAGGCTTTGGGATGCGGCCGGGGCTTTATGTTGGGAGTTTGAGAGCTGTCCCTAAGGGTCCATGTGCCCAACTAGTAGATACTTTGGCCCTAAAGTACCCCAATAGGGACTACTTTACGGCCAAAGTATCTACTATTTGGGTACATGGACCCTTAGGGTGTGTTTCCAGAGCTGCACGATGAAACGTATCGATGTGGCGGGTATCAGTCTGCGGCGAGGCGAGGCTTGGCCCAACCCGCTTGGGCACTGCGTGAGCGCGGCGACTGTCTGTGGCTGGCTGTTGGATCGTTTGGTGGACCCTGGTCCCACTATATCATGTATAAATGCGATGAAATGAGTCCATCCGCGACTTCTTCAGCGGTGCTGTGGCTTTGTCATTGTCACGATGACCCAGCTTCTGTTGTCAAACAGTAGAGTTCTGTATCCGCTACATCTTCCTTGGTGTCTAGTATAGTCAGTACAGTTGTACCGTGCCCATGGCTTTTTGGGGGGCTTCCTCGTGGAGGCGGCTTCATGATTTCATTATTATGTTCGTCACGATGGTGAGCTTCTGTGGCGACACTGTTTCGGGCACCGGTGTGCAGCGCTTCTCTAGATGGATGCGCCATGTTCCCTGTGGGCTGCTGTCACTTTGGATTCTCATTCAAAGGCTCCATGTACCTTTATAGTAGATACTTAGGCCTTACAGGGGTCCCTTTATAGGTACTTTAAGGCTTAAGTATCCACTATAAGGGTAGTTCTCTAAATTAGGGTCCCTTTTGAGGTCCCCAGTATAGCACGGCACCCTTATAAAGAGGACCCTAAAAGGGACCCTAATTTAGAGAACTACCTATAAAGGTACATGGAGCCTTAGGGTCATTCAGTGGCGGTGAAATTTGCAGGCTTCTCTCCGAAGAAGCGCAGCCCGCTCGGTGGCCTTGGGCTTCCGGGGCTTCTGGCATTCAAGCGCGACCGAGTCTTCAGGGTTCAGTTTAGGGTTTAGGGTTAAGGGTTAAGGGTTTAGGGTTCAGGGTTTAGGGTTCAGGGTTAAGGGTTCAGGGTTAAGGGTTCAGGGTTTAGGGTGTCTAGAACGATAAGAAAGAAGGCGCACACTTCCAAAGAGATGCGGTACTATGGCATATATAGATGGCCGTAGTCCCACTGCTCCTGGCCCCCATAATCCCAAATCGGTAGCCCCTGCAACCCTAAATCCTGAGATCCCTGTGTGTACCTGGCGCGGATTGTCCGAAGTGGAGTGTCAGAGTGTTGGTCTGGTATCTGCTTGGAAAGACATCGTCCTAGAGGCCTTGCAGACCGCCGCGACATTACCGTCGCTCCAGGCCAAAACAAGGATCTCAAGTCTACACCTTTGAAGGTGCTAGCAGTACACCCTGGGTCGGCTTCGTGTAGGGTTTCTCTCCTTTGATGATGCCTAACATAATTCCTGCCAGGCAGACGTCTTGGCCGATCGCCGCGGCAATGTTGCAGTGTCACCATCAGAGAGGTTCTCTCGACCATTTCCTGAGGTAGCTTAGTCCCGTCAAAACGAAACCTCCTAAATAATTCAAAGAGATTGTAATCGAATTCCTCATAGTCAGGCCCGGAAAGATAGGAAGACTATTCATCAGGCGTTCACATCAACGCTTCTTCGAGCGATGCTTTGAAGACCAGGTTAGGGTGTATAAGTATAGGGTCTGGATCCAAAACTAAACATCGAAACATTCTGACATGACAGTTCCTGTCCCTGTGACAAAGAGCACAAACGCTGCGATCAAAACCCTAAGCACCCTAGTGGGTGAGACGAAGACCACAACATTATCAACCCTGAACCCTTCTCCCCTAAACCCCTAAACAGTCAACTCCGAAACCACAAAGCCCCTAAACGCGCTAAGGCGCCTAAAAACCCCAAACCCCGACCCCAAAACCTTGCAAAAACCTTTGTAGTCCCCTTTCAGGGAACCCTCATACAGTACCCTTTGAGGAACCCGTATAGTACCCTTAAAGGCCCTGGCCAAAGCCGGTTTTCATCCCAGCGGCTGAGGCGAAAGCTGCCCGGAAGAACTCCGAGCGTGCGGCCAGCACCGCGGAGTGCGCCAGATACATGTCCTGAAGTAGGGTATAGGGTTTAGGGTTTAGGGGGTTCGGAGTTTAGGGTTTTGGGGGGTTTAGGGTTTAGGGTTTCGGAGGTCTAGGGCTTAAGGTGGTCTTAAACCTCCCCAATGTACCTCTATAGGAACCCAATTAAGGCCTACAAGCATGTACTGTTTAGGTACGTGTCCTGAAGTAGGGTAGGAGGCCTAATCATGTGAATAGGGTTCTGCGGCCCATTACACTAGACTTATAGTAAGGATACCACCCAGAATAGAACATAGGTAATTTTAACTATTTGGTCCTGAAGTAGGGCTCAGGAGTCTAAGGCCTTAGGAGTCTTCGGGTATAGGGCTTATAAGGGCCTCAGGGGTCTTAGAGTTTAGGATTTACACGTCTAGGGCATACTTCGGGTCTGGGGTTATAGGTTTGCTGAAAACACAAGTTCTTAAACCCTAAACCCTAAACACGTTTACAGGGGTCTTTTAAATGTGTACCTGGGGCATGAGCAGGTTGCTCTTTTTAAAGGGGGATTTTGAAACTTATACCTCGTGGTATGCAATGGTTTATGGCATTTGAAGTTGAAGGGTTTAGGGTTTCGGGCTTAGGGATATAACTTTTTGAAGGGTCTAGGGTTTGGGGCTAAGAGAACTTCTGTGAGCAGCTGCATCAGCCTACAGCTTCCCACTGCCCACCTCGCCCACCACCACTCGGCAGTCCGGGACAAAATCCTCTGGCTGCTCGGCTTGGCGGTGTATGGTTGATGATATACATCCAGCATTACCCACAATATGGAATATACCATAGTTCCCATAGTTTAGGGTCCTTAAGGTAACGCAGGTTTCGTATCGTCAACAGTATGGTTCGCGGTTAGGGATTTGGGTCTTTATGGCTTAGGGGTCTCAGGTCACAACGTTCATAGACTTTTTTGGGAGGGTGGGTCCCACAGCAAGGCTCTCAACATGTATAGGCCCCTTCAACAGGTTTGAACAAAGCCCTGTCTTGAGGGAGGGCTGGGTGGAGAGAACGGTCTGCGGGAGCAAGGTCAGACGACGAAGGAACAAAACGCAGCTTTCAAAGTCGAGGATGTAGAATTTACATGGTTTTGAGCTTAGGGGCAGAGCCGAGTCTTGGCGAACAGTATCAATGGACACACAAATTCGCGCAGGGAGGGATGAAAGAAGCCGGGCAACTCCATGCGTGCAAGTTCAAGTTTATGTACTGACAGAGAAGGCATGGCAGTACCAGCCGGGCCCAAACTGACTTATCCTGCAGCGTGGAATGACACCTGCAATCACAAGAGAAAGAGAGAAAGAGAAAGAGAGAGAGGGAGAGAGAGAGAGAGACGGAAAACAGACAATAACCACGGTGATCATGTTGATGATGGTGACGGCCATCATCGAGAACAAATCCACAAGAAGCATCACCTTCATGATCGTGGTTGCCCTCATCCGATGCATCATTAGCTGCAGCCACGGCCGCAGTGAACCTTCACCTGCATAACACTATCTGTCTCATACCAAGCACTATAAGTTGTCTTGGACAAGATGCATGCTGACCCCGATGACGCGGAGCTGTGCGAGGGCGGTCGCCACTGTCCTCTGCGAGAGCTCTGGCTCAGTGTCTAGTGCTTAATATTAGGGTTTCGGGAAACTGAACACTAGAAGTGATAGCAGCAATTTCAATGTACTGCGGGAGCCAAGAAAAATCAAAGGCATGCTGTAGCTTGAGCGATAGCGATCATATCTTTAATCATGACAGCCAGTGTAGCGCGAATCACCCACTAGCAACCAAAGCCTGGCAAAGACGCTACCCGTAACCTGCCTCTTTCGGAGGTGTTATATAAAAATATCATCGAACCCTCAACTAGAAGCCCGAGGTCTTCGGAGGTCGGATTGCCCCTCGTCTTCTACCGCACTGTCCGACCAAAAAAAGCCCCTAAGGGTCCATGTACCCCGCATAGTAGGTACTTTGGCCTTAGGGTTTAGGGTTTAGGTACTTTGGCCTTAAAGTAGTTCCTATATTTGGGTACTTTGGGGCCAAAGTATCTACTATTTGGGTACATGGACCCTTATACCCCAAACCTTATAGATCCTATATAGATCCCTTAAAGGAGCCCTTAAAGGAGCCCTTAGTGCTTACTGTTTGGGTACATGGACCCTTGGCTGCACCATATCCCAACAAGCCCAGCTACCTGTACAGTTGGGTGGTTGTCAAAATTATGGTCACTTTTTGGGTCCGTAATATAATACGGCACCTAATATTTAGGGAACCCCAAAAAGGGACCCTAATCTTGACAACCATCCAGTTAGTTGATGCAAGGGGCTTTCATGGAGGGTAACCGACCATTCCTCATAGAAGTTTCGATAATACGATTGCAGACCTCCAAACTCTGGAAGTGGCATGCGAGCACATGCTGAAGCCTGAAATTCAAAGCCACATTTCATTGCTTGTAGGTTTAATATTTTGCCCGAACATTGCAACTCAGTCAGAACATAGACGGAAGGCAAGCCTTGTAACCGCTGAGCCACTAATAAAGCTTTTGCCCCGAGACCAGAGGCCGGGAAAGCCCGTTTACAACCCTACAGCCGAATTACTAAGGCACTTGGCCCTTCGATCCAAGACACCCTCCACATGGAAATTGGGTTAAAGCCGCGGACGTCCCTTACAAAACCCAAAGGACCACGTATTAAAGGACAAGTCCGTTATAGATTCTGTCATGCCCTTATGAAGCTACAACAAAAACCCTTGAAGGACTCTACAAAGCACGGACGACAATCCTGTGAAACTCTGATAATAGGGTCCTTATTAGAATTATGGTATAATATCACCAAAACCCTTTTCCAATCATGAAGGCCCCTGTATTATGTTGGGGCCTCTCGCGACGAACCGCCCTCTTCACCATGCTCCTCAAGTCGCCTTGGGCTAAGGCAGCTAGGGTTTCAGGAGTTGCAGCCTAGCACAGAAGGGTCCAAAGGACCCAATAATAAGATACTTAGGTTTCGGATAGTACCCTATGCTTCCAGGGACCTCATTATTGGGTCCTTAAGGGGTCTAGGGCCCTAACTATAAGGTCCTTGGAAGAACAGGGGTAGGTATATAGGTTACTATTTGGGAGAGTATATGAGTATCAGGTACTTGGACCCTTAGGGTTGGTAATGGAGGATTTAAAGTTGAGGGTTCATGGGGTCTGTTTGTGGTCTTATAGGGATTATTGGGTACTTGGACCCTTGGGGTAGGGTTTGTGAGCTTAAGGCTTGGAGTCAAGATTTCAGAACTGGAGGGTTCGGGTTCCCCTAAACCCTAAACATTCAACCTTAAATCCTAAACCCTAAATCCTAAACCCTAAATCCCTAAATCCTAAACCCTGAACTCCAAAACCCTAAATCCTGAACCCTAAACCCTACATACACCAATTCTTGGCGGCTTTGACAGATAGTGCAGCTAGGGCATACAAGCTGGAGGCTTCATGGCCGAGTCCAAGGAGACAGATAGGCTTAGGGTTTAGGGTTTAGGATTTTAGGGGCTTAGGGGTTTAGGGTTTAGGTTTTAGGGGTTTAGGATTTAGGGTTTAGGGGTTAGGGCTGAGGGTTTAGGGGTTTAGGGCTTATATTAGGGTTTAGGGTTTAGGTTTTAGGGGTTTAGGATTTAGGGTTTAGGGGTTTAGGGGTTGAGGGTTTAGGGGTTTAGGGCTTAGGGGTTTGACGGTTTAGGGCATGTACATACATAGGCATGCATGTAGATACGCATACACAGAAACATGCGCATATACATCAAGCAAGCAACCAAACGACATATCAACGAACGAATAACAGAACGATCGAACAAACGCATAACCCAACAGACACACATACATACATGCATGCCGAAATAGACAGGTAGGTTTATGTAGCTCAAGGTTCGGGGTTAAGGCTTCAGAGTTGGATGGTTTAGGGTGTCGGAAGTTTCTGATGGTGGGGGGGTGGCTTGAACCGCTAGGGTTTAGAAGCCTAAACCCTAAACCCTGAGCACTAAACCGTGTATTTAGGTGGCAATCCGCAAACAAGGATTTGAAGGTCCTGCGAGATCGTATCGCTAAACCCATCCATATACCTACCTGTACCCCAAAAGCATGTAGAATAACATCCTTTTAGAAGTGTTGGACCATTATTTTACCTACTTGTTGGGGGTTTAAGGAAGCTACAAGCCTAAGAGTTTAAACGCGGTTCGGCCATCGCGACGAAGGACTCGAGTCTCCACGGTTGCTAAATGAGGCCAACAACCCTCAAACAACGAACTAGAACTATAGAGGGTTCCTTATTGTGATTGAATTTCAAGAAATTTCAAGAAACGACCCTACAATGCCTGTAAGATGGTGGGCCTGCAGAACTCGAACATACGGTTTTGGTGGGCTGCCTACGGGGTATAGTGTAGAAAAAAGTAGAGCAGGGAACCTCAAGGATACGACTACCAACGAGTCAGACCCTGCAAAACCTGAAGCCCTTCCTGAATCCCTAAAGTATGCAGAATCATAGCCGCTGTCTTGGACAATTATGTTACCTACTTTTGGGGGTGTGGGTTCACCCTAAACCCCAGACCCTAAACCCGAAACCCTAGATAACTCTGATCCCGAAAGGCAAAGCTCGGAGAGGCACATTCCGATGCTTGTCCTCCGAAGAATGTTATAGGCGTCACTATATAGAGGTAGTTATGAAAAAGACACCTATATACATACACATACATACATATACATATATATATATATACATGTATAATCGGAGAGCAAGAGAGAGGGAGTAGAGAGAGAGAGAGAGCCCCTAAAGCCGAAACCTTCCAGCTTAAATCAAACTTGAAACCCGGCTCTCTCCGTTAAACTGGGGTGTAGGAGCTTAGGGTTTAGGGCTGTAGAGTTTTACGGTTTAGGGTTGAGGAGTTTAGGGCTTACAGGCTTTAGGGAACCTGCAAAGCAACGCGATTCCAGACTCTTCCAGCTTGAGGCCAGGCAGCGCAGCATCGAAGAGGCGGCAAAAGTCGCTGACAATGGTGCTGGGGACCTGGGTTGTGTCACTCCGGAGATGGTCGGCAAGGCTTGTAAGAGTTGTTAATGGGTTTCGGCTTTAGGGCAAGTTTAGGGTTTAGGGATTAGGCGGATTTTGTCGGGTTTCAATACACCCTGCAAAGCGAATGTGTTTTCTTAAGGTGTCCGGGCTTCAGGGCGAAACCGTAACCCTAAACCCGAAACCCTCCAGCAAGTATGACTGCAGGGTTGAGAGATGGCTTGCTGCAAGTGCAAGAGCTCGGATTGAGTTCTGCAAGTGCTCCGTCGCTGCACGCAAACCCTAAGGGTCCATGTACTCATAAAGTACATACATTGGCCTTAATGTAGTCCCTATATAGGTACTTTAGGGCCCATGTATATGCTATATGAGTACATGGACCCTTAGGGAAAGAAGACCAAGCTTGTTCCCGCTTGCTGCTCCCGATTTCTTTGTGTCCCCCGCCCCGTCGGGAAGGCAGAGGGACCACCCTAAACCCTAAACCCCTAAACCCTAAACCCTAAACCCCTAAACCCTAAACCCTAAACCCTAAACCCTAAACCCTAAACCCCTAAACTCCTAAACCCCAAAACCCCTAAAACCCTAAACCCTAAACCAGCTGAATCTAAGAGTTAGGGTGGCCGGTTTGGCTCTTGAGAAGGAGGCCAGCCTGTTGCTCAGGCAAGGGATTGCAGAAGATTGCCTTTCCAGGGTTTAGGGTTTAGGGTTTACGGTGTCCAGGCGCGATACAGAAGTGGACCGCTCCAAGCGTTTGGTGAGCCAACAGTCTTCCTGCCACAGTTTGCCCACAGCTTTCTCTCTGCTCTCCCGACCACATTTGCTGGTATTATGTCATTCCTGTCAAGCATGAGTGTCCATGGGTTCTTGATTGAAGGCTCTACGATAAAAGGGAATCTGAGGCTCTTGTGGCGTCCTTGCAATTTCATACGCAACATCCCAATCCAAACAAGACACAGAATAAGATTTTGGGCCACTTGAACACAAGGATTCAACGAGGGCTTAGTCAGTTTGAGCACCTGCACCTGCAGAAGCAGAAACATATGTTCGCTGATTCGCTGGTGTGTGTTTGGCATATTCTTTCAAAAAAAGGATTATGGAAGACCTCTGCAATAGGCAAGGCAGAGAGCTGTTGAAACTAACCCTAAACCCTAAACCCTAAACTCCTGCATGATGAAACACAGCATCAGGAGCGAAGTCTCGGTGTGCGTCTTGGAGCGCACAAGCACTACCTAAACTCCCACCTAGACGCCTCTCAACATCCTAACCCCACTAAACCCCTAAACTCCTAAAACCCTAAACTCCCAAACTCCTAAACCCTAAAACCCTGAACCCCCAAACCCCTAAACCCTAAATCTAAACTCCTCACTAAGCCTCTCACACTAACTCGAGGCCTGGTTCCAAGCTCAAGAACCTGGCTCCCCTAAACCCAAACCGTGAACTTCCGAAGGCTCAAATGCCCAACCGAAACTGAACCCCAAATTTAGGGCTTAGGGGCTTTAGGGTTTAGGGTTTAGGGTTTAGAATAATCGCCTTTTAAAGGGTTTTGGACCATTATGTTACCTACTTTGGGGGGGGTTTAAGTAACTCTAATGGACCTTTTACCCTTCACTCAACCGTAACCTCAACTAGCCTGGTGTAGGCACCTGATTAATAAAGCCTTTGCCTTTAAATAAGGACTAGATTGATTGGGATCGAATATGAAACCCCGGAAGAGAGAGAGGAGGAGTTGTTTAATCACGGGTCTCGCGCCACCGCGAAAAGCCTGTCATAAACCTAAGCCCTAAACATACCACCCCTAAACCACTCAAAGTCTAATCGTAAACCCCTAGCCCCGAGTTGGATCCACATAAAGTCCTGTGCAAGCCATCATGAAGCCCTTATAATACCCTTGCAACATACAAACCTCCAAAAACTCGTACACATGTCTTCAACAACCCAAGGGAACCCGTCGAAACCTCACAAAGCCCTGCACAAAGCAACAGTAACAGACGCCCGAGTCTCCTAGACCCAAAGCCCTGAACCAAACCTGAACCCCAAACAGCTTACCTTCACGAGATATAAGCCCTGATAATGGAGGTTCTTTAACTCCTAGACTCTATACCCTACCCATTCCCTCTAAGATTGAACGGGAGTTGGCCGGGGCCACCTCCATAAACACTCGGAAAGTGCTTTTACTATTATGGGATATTTGTATCTCGACTGTCACGTTTGAGTGGTATTGCTCTTGCTCCTGGTCTCGCTTTTACCTCTGCTCCTGCTGCATCCCTTGTTCTCGCTCCTGCGCTTGCTCTTTCTCCTGCTCTTGCTTTTGCTCCTGCTCTTGCTTCTGCTCTCGAAGCTGCTCTTGCTCTTGCTGTTGCTCCTGACTTTGCTCTTACTCCTGCTCTTGCTGTTGCTCCTGCTTCCGCTTTTGTCCCTGCGTTTGCTCTTGCTCCTGCTATTTTCTCTTCTTCCTGCTCTTGCTCCGGACCCCCCCAATGCAAACTAGGTTTGAAAGGGCAGGGATGATTTCGTGAGGATTGACCCTAATGTGTGTTTTGATATTACATAAGAAGGGAATAAATGGGGGGAACGGATGAAGCTCCTAAGCCCCAAGCCCTACGTGGACCCTACAAAAACTCACCTTTTGAAGGGCTCATATAAAGAAAATGTAGTAATAAGCAGCCCTGAAGAGGTGGGTTAGTTGGGGTTCAAGTAAACAACCATAAGCCCTAAACCCTAAACCTCTAAACCCTAAACCCCTAAACCCCTAAACCCCTAAACCCCTAAATCCTAAACCCGAAGCCCTAAACCCTAAAACCCTAAACCCTAACACCCTTAGAATGCAGGCATCATGCCGCTGGCGCGGGCCGACCCGGTGCTGATCGCCCCCCCTCGCCCTCGGCATCCTGGCAAAATGGGCTTAGGGGTTTAGGGGTTTAGGGTTTGGGGTTTAGGGTTTAGGGCTTTAGGGTTTAGGGGTTTAGGGGTTTAGGGGTCTAGGGTTTAGGGGCGGGGAGGGTGTAGGGTTACTTACAGCTCCATTGTAGTTCTTTTTTGGGGCTTAGCTTTCTAATTGAGATCCTTAATGAAAACATGGCTAAACCAGAAAGAGAACTACAATGGAGACTATAGGTAAATTGCTGTTTCTCTCTTAAGTGTGTTTTGCCGGATGTTAACATCCCTAAGGCTCAAAATAGCCCAAAAGCCTTACATAGTATGGTCTTTGGGCCCCAAAATCCTGAACATATGAGCCCTTAGAGCCTTGAGGAATGTCCCTAGACCCTAAACCCTAAACCCTGAACCTGCTGTTTCTCTCTTAAGGGTGTTCTGCAGGATGATATTACTTCATGTAGGGTTTGCGGGGCCTGTGGGCTGTTGCGGCCTCACGGGCCTTCAGCTCAAGAGCTTCTTGGGTTTGTGGAGGTTTAGGGTTTAGGGTTTTAGGGTTTTAGGGTTTAGGGTTTAGGGTTTTAGGGTTTTAGGGTTTAGGGTTTAGGGTTTTAGGGTGTAGGGTTTAGGGTTTAGGGTTTACCAGAGATGTTGGGGCCTGTCCTTGGCTTACAGACTCGAAAGGGATAGATATGTAGATAGCTAGAGGATACAAAAATAGATAGACATGGAAATTCGGGCTGCGGGTCTAGAGCATTAAGTAATGCTGCCGGGGTTTGGGAGTGATGGTTGGTAGCACTCAGGGCTTCAAGTTTCCGATCGCCTTGGGACTTCTACGGCTTCGTAGGGCTCCTAGCCCCGGAATGTAAGTCGGGCCGCGTTGAGCCTTGCTGCTCGGCTTGGGCACCTTATATAGCTTACCTTGACCGAAACTTCGGCGAAGATAGAAATAAAAGCGTAGTTGCAAACGGCAAAGGGATCACAACGTGAAGTCCCAGAATGCTTTAGGGCTTAAAGCAGGCCCGAGACAAGCCAGCAGACACGCAAAAGGTCCGCGGAGCTCCAATCCTTGGAACGAAGATTCGCCTCCAAGGCCACAGGAACCCCAAACCCTAAACCCTAAACCCTATACGGAGAGTGTCCTCCAGCTTCCTTCGGCGAGCATTCCTCGCGTCCTCCGCGCATCAACAGCCTCGTCGCGCGCCCTCTGAGGCGCCTCCTGGGAGTGATCAGCCAGGGCCGCGACCGAGGTGGCACCTGCGCACGGCCCAGCAGGTGACATGGAAAGATTTCAAGATGTACCACTCGCTAAGGGTCCATGTACCCAAATAGTAGATACTTTGGCCACAAAGTAGTCCCTATTCGGGTACTTTGGGGCCAAAGTATCTACTATTTGGGCACATGGACCCTTAGGGCCACTTACTTGTCCAAGCGACCAAGTCGAAGATACAGAATTGCATCTGTGTCGTCAGGGTCAACCAGGCCTTTCGTGGGCACAAACCATCGAGCACGCTGTGGACTCGAATGTACTCACGTGCCTTGAAACCACCTTGGGTTCAAGGGACAAGGCGCGCACATCTACAGGTTTTGGGGTTCAGAGGGTTTCGGGTTTAGGATTTTGGGCTTAGGGTTCAGGTTAGCGGCAGTTGTACAAAGATGACCATCAACGCCAACCAAATGGAGTGCTCCTAGGATTTTAGCATTGCTTCTTGGCTGCTTGAGATTTCCAGCTTCGAGTTCAGGCATCGGTGCTGCTTTTTGCTCGGGGTTTAGCGCCAGAAACCATACAGACAAAAAAAGTATGCGTTGTTGCCATCGCACCGCCTGAACGAGGCTAGCCTGATTGCTGAAGGTTTGAAAGTATGATGACATGCCTCCTACTTTCAACATCTCAACTGAAGCCTGTCACCCCGAATAAGAAGATCTACAACAGGCGGGGATGGAGGCCGGGTGTACAAATGCAGAAAGCCCTCAGTTGCGATGTCCGAAAGCAGCAAGCCTTTATCCTTCAGAATCCTTCACCATGGGCATCGCCCGGAATCGCTGCCAAACCCAGAACCCATCATAACCCTCCTGCCTAAACGAAAAACCCGTCTCTAAAAACCTTAGGTTTTAGGGTTTACACCCCTGACCTAACGCAACTGAAGCCTATACCCCACACCCTACCCCCTTCCACGCAAATGTCGTGCCCCCGTGTGCGGCCTTCCACAAGCGCCCAAGCCGAAAAAGATCCGACACGACTTCCTGAGCAATGTAGGGGCCTTAAAAATTAGAACAGGGTTTTGGGCCCATTATAGCTTTATTATACTAAGGAACCCCCCCAAAATAGCATTATAGTACATTCTAATAAGGAACCACCCAAAATAGTATAGGCAATTATTAAGGCTTCTATCACAGGTTCCCTGCACCCTGGACCCCTTATGCACTGAAACGGCCACCTGAACATCGTGGGTTCTAACCCTAAGGGTTCAAGCACCTAAGAATCATAGACTCTCCCAAGTCGTAACCTACATATCTACTACCCTAAGCCCTAAACCCATGAACCCTAAACTCCTAATTCCTAAACCCTAAACCCTAAGTACCTGATTATTGAAACCCTAAACCCTAAACCCTAAACCCTAATTGGATCCTTTGGACCGTTGGGGTAAGACTTATAGTGCTCGTTGTTCAGGTTCCCTGTTTTCTGGAAGGCCCACCCAGACTACAGCGCTCTGGAGGCCGAGCATGGTAGGGTTTGGGTTTAGGGTTTGG